CTATTTTTCTACTTAGGTGTTTATGTTGTGTGCAATCCGAACAGTTCCTTGGCTAAAGGTACAATACCTAGTTGAACATAATATGGAAATTACTGCTGTTACTACATTGATCCAATTAATAGATTTATAGTGAAATAATAGGTTTTTGTGCTAAAATAATAATAATATGGGATTCAAAGGTAAAGTTCCTGTTGGCTCTTTTTAGTATTTATATTTTCTGGTTTATTTGTCTCCAATGTTTTGCATTTTTCAAAGTTATGTAAAGTATGAAACATTTCTAGCAAAGCTTAGAATGAAATAACTGGAACGAGAAAAATTAAGACTCACAACTGTTGCTGCGCCGAGTACTGTATTAGCACTTACCAATTAAAAAATCTGCTTTTATTCAGCCTAAACTGCTTTTTGCAATCTACGAAAAACCTTCACCATTCCTGGGCATCTGTCGGGAACACTAGAGCTGTATATGAAAACCGATTTGCAAAATATTTAGTATAATATGTATCTCGCGTTCCTGAACAAAAGTTCTTATGAGACCAAATGGATCCCCTGATTATTTTCTGAGAAATAGGAGGTTGAAGTTTGCCGATTTAAAAGAATGGTGAACGTGCACATAGAATGGATTTTTAAATTACTCCAGAGAACCATTAAAGTGTATGTACCGAATCTAGGGGACCTATAAGACAGCTAGTGGTCTTATTAATATATACCATCCTCCAATGATTATTTATGGGAGGAGGTACCAACCCTACATTAGCACTTCAGCTGTTAGCAAAGGCGCAAGGACCAAACGTTGGTGTAGCGTTACATGACGTAGAAGGTATCCACACTATACGAATGTACTTACGTTTTAGAAACCCAATAAAGTATCGACTATAGATATCTTATAGACAAGTTTATTAAAATAACAAGAATTTACCTGGTGATTATGCAATAAAATTCATAGGTATTATTGCAGATGTAAATCTGGCGCCCAAACCCCCTAGACACACGTGGCTTTTTTGATATGCTCTCCACAAGATTCAGCTCCTTATCATTCGAAAAAGGTGATCCAAGCCGTTCGATATGTCGGAAGCAGATCAAAACATAGAAACTCAAATTAATATACAATAAATTGTAATACCCTAAGGCTATGGTCACATTTATGCGCCTTTTCTTTCGCTCTCAAAATCAACATCATGAATTGTAAAATGTACAGGTCATAATCAGACACAACTAAACAACTACGACTTTGATGTGCCCTTCTGAAGCGCAGTGTCCTCTAGAGTAATTTTTTTTTAATTCTCGAATAACTCGTGTCAGAACCATTTCAGTGTCAAGCTTGCCCTTGAATTGGCATTGTAAGCATCATGGCCAGGATCAACATGACACCTTCCAACACCACTTCCTCAAAGGTTTATAAATGAAATAATTTCTTCAGTATAACAACCCTGTGAGTATTTGTTCTATTTGAAAATCAGACAAGCTTTCTCCCCGTTTCTCAAAAAATAATCTTAGTATTGCTTTGGTCCCATGAAAACTTTTGTTGAGGAAAGCGAGAAATATTTCACATCCAATTTTCTGAAAAATCGACTAGGACCCATTTTCGGATCGGTTAAAGTTTAATGTGGCCAAAGCCTAATCGAGTTGTGGTATACTTGTTTTTCGGCTACTGTCTAAATAATTTTGATTCAAAACAAACCCCTTGTGCCCTAGTCCAAATTCGTTTTTCACTACTAACTACTTTGTGTATTTTATTTCTTATACATTGCATTACTTAGGCAATTTATCTCTGTCAGATTGATTAAGTTAGGAGTAGTTAATTGCCTCACAACACTTAAATCCATCTTTAATTCGACTCTGCATATCGACGTTCGCCTGGTCTAAGGATAAAAACAAATCCCTTATTTGTCGGTAGTGGGACCGTCGTTTTGTTGATATCTTATCAAAAGATTTCTATCATCATTAATCTATCAACTAAAAAAATCTGACCGGCGGAGTTATGAGCAATATACAAGAAAACCGCAAATCACAACCAAACCTCATTAGCGTAAGTTGTGTTAGATATGGTCTATTCAAATCTCATTTACTCCGCGTGAAAACATACATAATCGCTAGATCGTCGCTTCTATTCGCTTGTCATTGCCTGACAAAGCATTTATGGTCAGCGTAGTAACGCGCGGATAGGAACTTCGCGCACGGGTGTTTATTTTGACGGCGCGAGACTGAGGTTTGAGTATATTATAAACATACATTTCTTTTGTTACAGATTCATGCAAGACGCCTATCTTCTGTGGGTCTGTTACGTCGTCCTATTTTTTCTGGCCACCTTCTGCGCCTTATCACTACCACTGTACCCAACCTCTGCAACCGCTAAAGTCGCCGCTGAGGGAACGTGGCAGGTTAGTATTATATTTTTGATAATGAAACTGAAACATCTGTTTTATGTCTCAAACGCCTAAGGATACCTCACCATAGTCATGGCCGTTTGTTCCGCCTTGCTTAACAGAAGCTTAATCTAAGGTGGACCTTATCCCAAAAAGTCTGCTGTATATTTGTAACTTTAATTTAAGCTCAAATGTCAAAAAGATAAACCGAAGATGTGTAGAGTTTAAGCTGCACATAATCTGGAAATACAGGTAAATAGTCTTGTTTTGATTCTGAAGGCGGTTTGTGAGAAAATGACATGGAACTTTTACAAGAATTAGTTGAAATTAACCTCATTATAGTCCGACATTGTTAATGTGTCATCAGCGACTTGTTTCCTAATAGTTTTTTTAATGTTGTAATATTTCGTTAAACACTCTTTGATCCTAAAATAATTTTCCGGTGATTGAAGAAATTGGAAATCATTTCTGATGTCTCGATCTTTTCTCTCCAAGTGAGGACATTAGTTGTTCTGTGTTTTGTTATTATGTTTATATTCGGATATAATGTTCATCAATAATGATTTTTCTTGTAGGGAAAAATTGGGGGCTCTTTTTTTTTGCTGCAGAACCCATGATGAAAAATAAATCTGTGATAAATGAATATTTCACACCCGTCAAATATTAGTATTTCTGGCAGGATGATATATCACAAAAGTACTCTGCTCTTTAGTTCAAAAGTAGAAATGAAATCCCTAAAAATATACATGGTTGCCAAGTCAATAGTATGCTTAAATAAGCATCGCTCCACAGGTAACATAAATTCAATCTAAAGTGTACCTTAAAGATAAGCATCAATTTGCTAAAAAAGCGGGTGCAAACGGCCATCAGAGGCATACCTCGTTAACAGTAGCGTACGATGCGCTTCTATTTTGATACTTATTTATAGCGGTAGTAAATTTCAAGAACTTTATCTCTAATGCCCAAGAAAATTTTCGGTTGTCTCGCAAATAGAAAATAATATCGGTGACATGCAAATATTTAAATGCAAACCTACAACCATTATCTTCTGTTTCAGGTCGTTTTCGTTGTTTTCCTCGCGTACGCCATGATGCCGTTGAAATCCTACGTGGCCGCGATATTTGGTTTTCTTTTGTGTGGCGCTCATCTGGCTATGTCTTCTGTTTCTGCGACTGAATTCCAGGATCTGAAATGGCAGCAGGTAGGTTTCTGAAATGTAATATTTTAACTATTTCAAATGTGCTTAACCCATTGGGCTTGGGGCCTACTGGCCTCTGGGATGACAACCAGTAGTCAACTTACTTGGCTCCACAATAATTACTGGTTTTCTATAATGTATTCTTTTTGTCGGAAATGAGACGGTAGCCAACAAAATAGCTCAGCTAGCTGGAAAAGCAGGTATAGACACATACACCTTATGTAAATGTTTAAAAAATGTTGTTAGCTTCTCACTCATTTCGGAACTAACAGTGCCAAAATTCATTTATCTTCAAAACCGTCAACTGGAATGAACTAAAATTTGGTATGTGGATTAACCTTAGAATTGTCCACATTTAACGTGCACCAGTAGCGGAGATACAGGGGATTAGTGGCATTATTTTTCCAAATTAAAAAAAAACGTCACTTTTTTTTCGAAACGCGCAATTTTTCGAATTTTACCTTCAATTTGCTACAAATAATTACTCTTGTTTTTGCTGTCTAAAGTTCTAGACAAAATTATAAGATTTCAGATAATGCTTCATATAGATAATTACGATTTGCTGCCTTCATTTCAGTCAGGATTTCGAAAGGTTTTAGTTACACGACAGCGCTTCTAGATGTTACGGACGAAATTATCAGGGATATTGATAACGGCAATACAGCGGCTCTTGTATTGCTTGATTACACAAAGGCATTTGATACAATTGATCACCAGTTAATGTTTTCTATTTTAAAATACATGGGATTTTCCGTTAATGCTATTAAACTATTCAAAAGTTATTTCTCAAAGAGGACGCAGTCTGTCATAACCTCTTCCGGGGTGTCTGTTTCCAAGCCTGTTCTGTGTGGGGTACATCAAGGCTCTATCTTGGGTCCATTAGTTTTTTCAGTATACTCTGCAAATATTACTAGTAGTTTGATATATTCAAAGCCTTATTTATATGCTGATGATACCCAGATGAAATTTTCGTTCTCTAATACAGATACAACTGCGGTTACATAGTTAAATGAAGATCTTAGTAATTTGACAATTGAAAGAGCACATCAGTTATCTGTTAATCCAACCAAGTCAAATGTTTTATTGTTCGGGAAACACAAAAAGAGCATGGCAGATTCATTCCATATTTCAATTAATAATAATGTTATTCCTCATACATCCGCTACTAGGAATTTAGGCTTGATAATGGATAGTGACCTGAGGTTTTCAAAGCATATTGATAAGTGCATTGGCCGAGCTTATGGTTGGCTTAAAATGTTATTTCCACATCGTCATATCTTTTCTACCGAACTTAAGGGTTTGCTTCGTGACACGCTTGTTCTGTCATTATTCAATTAATGCGACTCAGTTTATGGGCCTTGTATGACAAGGTATGATGTTGATCGTATACAGCGTGTCCAAAGCTCATGTATTTATTCTGAGTGATATTGCTTCAAGTTTACAACATAAACTTCTCCTGGCAATAAACCTTTTAAATCGGTATGGGACTGACAACACAGATACGACGGGCGTAAAAAGGTGATCCATCCATCAGGGTATATGGGTTGGTCTAGTACTGTATTTTCCCAGTTGATACCCACTCAGAGGTTCAATATGTATCAATCACATAAAGAATTCCTCAAATTTTTGACTATATGCACATTTTGAAATCATCTCTTACAGTTTCGAAGAACAACAACGAAATTAAATATGAGCATGAATTGAATTCTTAGCATTTGGTTAATTAGCTCATACAGTCTATTTGTGTTGATATTTTTTGCACTTTGTGTGATCGATTGGTGGAGCATACTGTAAACTCCTCTTTCTGGCATTGATAGAGTTGTTTCCAGCTAAGAAAAGTACATTAATGATAAAAACATTTCTTTCTCGCTCTTTGCCGAAATAGGTATCGCCAATACCTTGATAACTAATGACACTAGAGCGAAATGCTCAATCACGAGGTTGTCGAAGTTTCGTAAATTAATCTATAAATCTTGTGATATTATATGATAAAGATTTACACTTGTCAATTTTTATAGCATGTGAAGCGCCCTTCACAGTGTCTTAATATGCACCAGTATAGTAGTACATTTTACCGCTGTGAGAAATAATTTTAGCCTTCGATTGCAACAAGAACAAAGACCCTAGCCATAGTGAAATGCTTTCTTAAAGGTAAATGTGAATTCTTCCTATTCAAATAAAACCGCCTAATAGGTTGTCTGATCGATCCCCATATTTTACTAGCCACCAAACCAAACTAACGTTTTAATCACCTCGTTGGCCTTTTATTGGTATAGTAAATACAAGATTATTTACATCTTATTTTTCTGTATAATCTCCTCTATTGTTGATGCATTTTCCCCATCGGATCGGAAGTTTTTTAATTCCCTCATCAAAGAATCAAGCTGGCCGAGCCAATTGTGCATGAACCAAATCGCGATTTCGAGCCAGCCGGTCGAACCGACTAGACCTACCGATAATAAATGCAAATTTTCCGTTAAATTCTGTTTATCCAGTGAAGTGAAATGTTCTAATGCGAGCTGTGATACAGTACTTCATGGGAAGTGTTTCGATGCAATTGTTAGGATTGTCACATCGAAGAGGGAATAAAAAACTGTGCAGTAATCAACAAAGAATATACTGACACTTTAATAAAAAGAAGTTGATTGTTTCTCGAGAGAAAAGCAGTTGTTAGAAAAATATGTGATGAACTTGAGTTTTCCAATAATGTTGAAAAAGCAAATGCACTCTGATCCTGTTGTGTCGTCATCGGCTACCCGTTTCTTGCCTCATTCCTTGTCAGTTCCTTATTCTGAAGCGGTAAAAAAGAAGGTAAACACACCAGCTGTATTAGTAAGCAAATCAACAGAGCAGAACATGGGGAATGCGGAGTTAGAAAAAGAAGTGAAATCTAAATTTAGGCCAGGTGCTATGAAAGCTAATGTTACTGGCACAAAACTGGTCAAAGATGGTATACTAATTAATTGTGCTGACATAAAATCTCTGCAGAATTTGAAAGATGGCCTTAAGCGGGAAGCTGGAAACAACTTTTGATATCGATGAGCCCAAAAAACTACGCCCAAGGACTTTAGTACAGGGTGTGGATCGGTCTGCAGCTGATAATCCTCAGATTTCGGATAACATAATTGGAGACAATGATCTCAGTCTCCCTGTAAATAATAATTGGTTGAAAAACTTGAATATAAAAATAATGTTAATGTTGTTTCAGAAGTTCCTCCTTCTGTTTTCAAAAACGTTATGGGAAAGGGTTTTTTGTATGTTGGCTGGAAGAGTTGTGGCATTAGAGAACATTTCAATATTGTTAGGTGCTATAGAAGTAACAAGTCTGGACATAAAAGGACTGCAAAAATCCTTCTACCATATGCCCTAATTGCTCAGGTAATCACGAAAAGAGAGAGTGCAGTTCACCTAATATTATCTGTATCAATTGCAAAGAAATTAACAATAAATTAAAAACCAATTGCCCGACTGATCACTCTGTTAACAGTATACAATGTTCGTACTATCTAAGTAAATTAGATCTACTTAAATCAAGAATTCAATATGAATAATAACTTAAGAATAGGTCATTTGAATTGCAGATCTCTCATGTCGGACTTCGATGCGGTTGTTATCTTAATATTAGTCGAAAAATTCCACATTTTTGCTGTCTCAGAGACGTGGTTGAACCAAAACATTCCTAGCAGTTCGGTGAGTATCAGAGATTACAATTTCTTTCGCTGCGATAGAAGCACTCGTGGCGGTGGAGTCGGCGTATACGTTCGTTCAAACTATCAAGTGGAGTGTATCATGTTTGATTAATGCAGGCACGTGTTTGGAAAGCTTGTGGTTACAAATATCTACTAACAAACACAAACAAATGTAAACTTCTTGTAGGTGTCTTATATAGACCTCCATCTGAAAGTGTTCCAGAATGCGTCAACATCTTAGACACTCTGCTGCAATTAATCTGTCTTAATTTTGACAAAGTTATTATTACTGGTGATCTAGATGCTAATCTTCTGAATCCACAGAACGCTCTTTCTCCTTGCTTTGAGTTGGTGGGCTTTACTTAGCTCGGCAAACGTGCTCCTCGTGTAACGAATGATACAGAAACTATTCTGGACACGATTTTCACCAATAAACCACAATTGTTTGATGAATGTTTTATACTGGATGCTTGTGGTATTTCAGACCATAAAGTCGTATGATGTAGTATGAACGTGAAAGATATTGTTAAAAAACAGAAATTTATAGTATCACGGTAAGAGACTTTAAACAGTTCAATTAGGAAAGTTTGCTAGAGCTTCAATCAAAGAAATTAGATACAATTTTCTACTTACAAAGCATTGAAGACAAAGTTGAATACTCAACTAAAACAGTGCTAGATGCATATAATAATAATAATAATAATAATAATAATAATAATAATAATAATAATAAATTTTTTTATTAATAATAATAATTTATTTGTCAAATTCAATTATGCAAATATAAATTTTCAAAGACTGTTGCCACAAAGGAGTATCAATGACAAATAAAAGTAATGCCACGAAAGAAAAATCTTGTGTGTGGCCATCCCATTATTGTCAGTTGTCTATCCGCAGATATAAATAAAGTCTATCAAGTACTTGCTAATGCACTATGCACTTCTTACGCACGCCTGACATAATTTGGTGTTACACGATCACTGGTAGAAATGCGAAAACCTTGAACTAACATTGTGGCACTTTAACTAAATTCAATAATAAATAACATAAATCAAAAGGCTAAACTAAAAAAGAGTACATCTAAGATAAAGGACAATAAAAACTAAAATGACATTACAAACTGGTAGTTGCATTTGTGGGATGTATATACATAAAATATAAAAACGACAACATTCCAAAAGGAAAGAGGATTGGCAGGGCCATTTTTCACCTCCCCCTAAAAAGTTAACTTCATAAGCGTTTTTAACATCAACAGAATGATTAGTATTCACAACAAATATTATGCACAACACAGTATATAATACGATATAGTCTGAGTGTTAATGGAGGGTAGTGTAGCAAGCGCCATAAATTTAATTTGTAGATTCAAATCTTTGCAGCTTCTAGTAGCACTTTTTCCATCTCATTTCTGAAGTTTTGGATGTAAGGTTCTTCAAAAAGCTCTAAATGATCGTTCAGTAGATATGGTGCCGTGTAAGTAAAACATTTTTTGAATTTAGATGTTGTATGAACTGGAATATTGAAATAGGCATTGTTGCGTAAGGAAACTTGGCGGAGTGAACATCTCTTCTCCAAAGCAATAAACAGATAGCTGGGTAATTTATATTTTAAAACTTTATATAGTAGAGTTTCATACTGAAATAATACACGATGCTTGAATTTTAAAAGATTTTCTCTCACATAATATCCGGTTCTTGTATATGTATATCTTTGAACCAGAATCTCATGCAGCAGTTTTGTAATACTTGTGCTTCATTTCATCCATAAGAAAATTATAATATACTGTAGCGCCATAGTCTAGATGAGTGAGGATTAGTGCATTGGTACGTCTTAATTTTATATCACTGGTTAAAATGTGTTTGTATCTCCAAAGTGACTTATATTTACAATAGCATACTCGAAGTTTATTAATGACATGGTTCTCAAAACTTAAATTTGTGTCCAATAAGTTGCTCCCAGAGTTCTCTTCCATGATGCCGATGCACGATGTGCCTGCCATACAGACCCGGCTGCTTCCGTACAGAAAAATGACTACAGTAAAAGCTTCCTACTTCCATTATATGTTGGCTGGGGAGATAGCGCAGCGTAATCACTAGTTGCGTTCGGCACTTGAAGAGGGTTTAAGTGTAAAAAAGGCGAACTTTAATGGAATTACCAATGTAGCCAAAAATGCTGGAAATAGCCAGCGGACAAGAAGAGAAAAAATACAGAAAATCGCTAAGTCTGGCAACAATGTTGTTTTGTCCAGATGTCACGTGACTCAGTTGCGACTAGGATAGTGATGGGACATTTTATTCATACTTATCGGTGCACGAAAATAACTGAAGCGAGTCAAAAATCTTTCGGAAGCAACTATCGAGAACCACAGGCTCCAGGGGCGCGGGGGAAAGTGGAAATTCTCTCACATTCATATATCCAAGAAATTCACTTTTCAAAACGCACTGATAAAGTCACCTGACAAAATACAGATTAGCGAGCAACGAAATATCGATGGAAATATATTTCAAGACAGTGGCCAGGACAGTAGCAGTGAATACGTATCCCTAGGCCAAAAAACATAAGAAAAAGTATACGAACAAAAAGGCATAGGACAATAATACGCTTACGAAAAATAACAAAGGAGAACACACCAAAATCAAGATAATAATAATAATAATAATAATAATAATAATAATAATAACCCAAATAGAAACTACCTTTTAAAAATATTAACGTATTGACCATTGAAAATGGGACTAGTTTTGTTTGCCAGGGTTGCAACCAGCACATTTTGTAGGGTCTTTCGATCGTTTTTTGCGTAAAAAATAGAAAAACGTCATACATAATATTAAATGAAGGTTTTCTAATCGACAATGACGCTTTTTAATCTAATATGTGATTTTGGGGGTAAACTACCCATAAATACTATTCAAACCATACATCCCAAAATGCGTAATTTTTCTATATGTTAGCGCAAAATATGAGACACAGATTAGCATATTGTGCATTAATAGTAATTGGCGGGATGAAAATCACCCTTAAAAACTACCTCCCTGATTTTTTCAAATGTTTTGTAAAAGAATATAAGTGTTGTTTACGGGGGTACAACCCGTATTTTTCGAGTGTTTCTTTCCCGTGAAAAATCGGAAAATTGTCATACAAATTTCATGGTATTCTAATATAAAATGATGAAGATCAATAGACGCATTTTGGTGTAATCTAATATTTTATTTAGGTGGTAAACTAGCACTGAATCCTATTCAAACCATATAGACCGAAATGCGTAATTTTTTCATAGGTTATGGCCTGACGCAAGATATTAGGCATTCTCCATTAACGGTAATTGGACGGACCCTTAAAAGTCACCCCTGAAAGCTTTTTTGCCAATATCACATTGTTTTCAATATTTTGTAATATTATAAAACGGTAAGAACTGGCTTCGTTTTGTTTCCAAGGTTTAAAAACCTTATATCTTTCGAGCGTTTCGTTCGCGTATAAATATATATATATAAATTATAAAATTGTCATACAAATAAATATTGTTATTTTATAATAATGCCTTTTTGATAGCAAGTGATGAAAATCAATTGAATTGTTCCAGTTTTTTGCCTATTTTTTTCAGGTGTGAGCTATTCCTAATTGTAAGAACAACTCTAATCATGTAGACATTTCTTTATTTCAGAAATACATATTTACATTTTTTATTACTTTATATAATGTGAACTATCCAGGTAATCTACAAATTTTAAATATCTATTTTGATAATTGGTTATGCGTGAGAAATTCTAATTTTATATTATTTCTTTCATATAAATTTATATTGACCAAAGTAAAATAACAGCATCTGATATTTCTCACGAAATTTGTCATGTGGTTCTCTTGGGACATTCATCAATTGAAAGCATGTGTCCGCTGGAACAACTTGTCTTACGGTGCTATCACATTATCCTCTCCATGAGTTTAGTAGAAAAACTGCTGTTTCACCACTGTTAGGGAGAAAAATGTCTTCTCACCAGGTTACCAGACTTCAATTACATATGAAAAAATGACGCATTCCGGTCTACGGTTTGAATAGGATTCAGGGGTAGTATACCACCAAAATAAAATATTAGATTAAAATGCCGAAACATATCCTTTTCTTTTAGATAACCTATATGGTTTTGTTGCGTCGTTTGGAACAAATTATCTCCATTACAAAATATTGGAAAAAACCAGTGATGCTGTCGAAAAAAGTATTCGGGCGCTTTTTGAAACTAATATTTTTCTGAAGGAGAGAAAGGAGTATGACAATCAAGGAGGCCATAAACGCGCCCTACAATTGTAGAGACGACTGACGATACCGGCCTAAGGCCTTCGAAAATTTCTAGATTACACTTGTCCCGTGTCAGCGTCAGCGCTCTCCTATTGTGAAGACATGTTTTCTTTTTAAATTGTAGGAAATTTCAGGCTGATAAAACATGATATAACTCAAAAGCAAGCACAATTTGATGCAAATAGATGTTTGTGACATAACCTCAAAATAGAGTTCTGACACGGAGAACTAGAAAACTATGACAATCAAGGAGGCCATAAACGCGCACTACAATTGTAGGGACGACTGACGATACGGGCCTTAGAGTGCATGTCAGCCGTTATAAAAATAGGTGTCTTATATTTTTCGATTAGCTACAACATATCCAAATTTAAAATCGGAGGCGAGATTTCCTTTTGAGATTAACTGGTCGAAAAATGACGTCAAGTAAACTGACTTTGCACTTCCCTCACAACGCTAAGTTTAAAGATCTTGAAAATTTAAAAACTGAAATGTTCGATGAAAACTTTTTAATGTTTGAAAACATTGAAAAACCTGAAGATTTTGAAACCTTTGAAAATTGAATTTTGATAGTTATGAAAATTTTGAAAATCTTGAAAATTCTGGTAGTCTTGCAAATTTTGAAATTTTTGAATATTTTGAAAAATCTGAAAATTGGGGAAATTTGGCAAATTTAGAAAATTTGGAAAATTTGGAAAATGTAAATTTTG